AAGAGACAGGGAACGGTTTTCTAGGGATGTAAAGTACAGGCACAGCCAATTTCACAACTTGGGGTTTTTAAAATAACATCTATTAGTTTATGCTAACTTTCTATTCATATATTTTAGTGCTTGGTTAGTTTAGATTATTTTCAAAGTGCAAAAACCCAGACAAAACCCAGCGCTTCACAGTAATTTTAAAATCAGAGATACTCCTGGGCTGCAGACCCTGGCCGCCCTTTCGGCCGGTGACTAAACTGGATGTGATACACAAATAAATGCGATGCGATACACACGCACAAACCCACCAACCCCCAAAACGAGGCTATTTTCCATCAGCACTTGCCAGAGATCACAGGGAGCTTATTTGTTATGGAAACAGAATATCTTAATAATTCAAAAATTAAATAAGTATCACACTTCAACAGTTTCACGATTTTTGTCTTGAAAATGTAGGTTTTCCGACAGCTGGGTTCACTTTGGCATCCTGGCACGCTTTCTGGCCGACGGAGCCAAGGCTTTAACAAATTCATGGCAAACCACCGCCCTGATGCAAATTATTTAACAATCTAAAGAGAAGGAATGGAAAGAGCAGCATGAAGAAATTCAGAATTTCAAGAAAAGCAGCCTTTCAAGAAAAGAAAAGAGGAATTTCAAGAAAAGAAAAGCAGAATTTCAAAGACCGCATCAAGAAGTGGAGGGCAAACCTAGGGATAAAATCGAGGATATTTATGTCCAGTCCAGCCCTATCATCATCATCATCATCCTGTTGCACTTGCTCATCAGAGGAATAAAAATCAAGCGGTTGACCAAAGGCCCTTGGGTGAGTCACTGACGGAGGCAACAACAGAAACCCGCTCAACTGCCCTGGAGTTTTTCCTGCATTTCCTTTCACAGCATTGTTCATTCTTAGCAAGTTACTGTGCAAGTAGCAAAGTTTCATCTCCTTTCTCACCCTCCCAGCCCCTTCCGCTGGGATCAGGAGCACCTTACTTCAGCATCGCTGCCTGGGTCGACAGATCAAGTTATCAGCGGCACTGGGAAGGCCAAAACCAGCAAAACCAGATGGGTCTAAGCAAAAATTAGAGGGAAATTACTTTTTCTGTAGTGGCTGAAGCACACCGGACTATGTAAGAATATATGCACAGTGAATTAAAATGCCAGTTCGTGCCACATACATTTTTATCTCTCTTATGAATATCCTTACTATATACAAAATTTTGTGTTGAGCCGGAATGATGCTGTTATTTTTCTTGGTTTTGACACACTGCTGCACTTTACTATCATCTTTCTATTAAGAAGATAAGTCAGAAAATAAATGACTATAACTTTCATTCAGCTGAACCCCCAAACATGGGCCCATTTTCATTTTAAAACTAATTGCAAAGGTGACATTAGACCTGTTTCAAACGATGAAACTGCTTTTGAGATATATTATTTTTAATTTAATTTAATTTTAATTATTTTAATTAGAAGAAATGTAATGTTTAAAAAGTAGGTAAGTTATTAGGGTAAAATTTATGACGTGAAATGTATCTTCATATGGGTACAGCTGCATGCACACGCTCTCCCACATAATTAGGTATGGAGACTGAAGGATCGGACAAGTTTGAGAAGTATTTCCCACGGGAAAAGCCAAAGCCACTTAGCCAACTGAAGCTTCCACTTCTCCGTGCAAGTGGTCTTCAGGTGAATGATTAATGTGTACTGTAAATACTGTTCACATAGCCAAGAAAGTGAGGAAAAAAGTGAAATATATTACGATGCATCACACTACTTCAATCAAGATTCAGAAAATACTGATCTGAAAAGAATAAAGACTCCAAAGATGGATCCATACATCAGCATTTACATTTCAAAGGCAGAGCCTTTCAATTCAACTGCGGCATCAAGCATCTTCTGAAAACCTTGTAAGTTGGTATGGCGCAAGCCCCAACCCGAACTTTGTAAATATTTACAGAAGCAATACCTGTGAGAAGGTTTGAAATCAGAAGCATTAGATGGTGTTGGAGTTTTGAGCTCCCAGGGTGAATAGAATAGGTATTTTATCCCTTTAGCAGTCTTAGCAAGGCAATACCTGTCACTCCCTTTTTTTCCTTTTGCTCCTGTTTATATTGGTTTGTCTATTTTAAAGCCTTAAGAACATGGAAACAGTAATAATTTTAATTAATCATTAACCTTTTAGTTGGAAAAAACTTGTTTTAGGAGCGCTCACCAAATTGAGAAGCGGATTTCTCACTAAATCAAGCTAAATGGAGAATACACTTTTAAACCAAAGATGTTAGCGCAGAAGGGTTGCACCAAAAAAGCTGAATCCAGGGATGCCAATTTCTGCACGTGAACACGCCTCTCTCCTGTTAATAAGTATTCAAGACTTTGAACAAAAACACTTTCTAAACACACCTGCTTTGAGAGAAGGGGAGATGAGTGACTCTACGGCACCCGGTGAAGATGAGCACTGATCCTGCCTCTTTATTTGGATGCTCCTGCACCCAAGGCGAACTACCCGCTAGCATGATGTTGGAGCACGGTCAGCTCCAACCTTGGCAGCTGCATGTGAACAGGCAGGTTGGACGTTTGCAGTGTGGGAACAACCCAGTCAAAGGGAATTGATTCATACGGGGTTGATTTATGACTGTGGTAGGGCATGGGTGGGTTAGCGGCTTCGGCGGACACATCATCCTTTTATTGGTTTTTTTGGGTTTTTTTTTGAAACTGTGATAAATTGATTTAATGCAGGTCAATGCAAGTCATGTGCTTGAGCTTGTTAATGAGAAACTCCCCATTTTATCACGTTACTGAGCTGAGGTGCCTCCGTGTGTGTATATATACTTGCAGAGCAAAGTAGCTATCCCCAATTTGTCTTTGTATTCTGACATTATATTACGGTACGAGGACTTTCTGTACGCCTTCAACAAAAGCTGCCTAGGAAATGATCAGCCTAGTTGTTTTGCTGTTTTACCTCGTTATGCAATTTCCAATTAGCTTGAGTTATGCAACAGCAATAAACATTAATCTAGGCATGCTATAAACATTTGTAGTTCATATTAGTACTCAGTCTGCTGTAAACCATGTTGTTTGTACAAACTTGTTAGCTAAAATAAACAAGCCGCTCCAAGATCCTTGACTGTACTTGCTAAGGGTCAGACAAGAGTTTTTAATTCAAGGTACCCAGCAAATCCAATTGAGTTACCCCACTCTATTTACACATAGGAGTCTTAATATTCAACAAATGTTTGTTCCAAACCACAAATGTTTTGAATTTCATTCCATTGCAGACAAGCCATAAAAGTACTTACAGTATTAGGTCAGGCCTGCACTTGAAAGATGTATAACGCTATTTACAAGAATACATATGTATTTTTACCAAAATAATTATACTGGTAGACCAGGGTTAACAGCTTCCTACCTATATGGAAAAAAAAAAAATACCAGACAGTAGTATAACTTTATTCTGCTTCTCACACAGGAACAGCTACATATTTAAAAATACAAGCACTTCATTCAAATATCACTATGTCACTTAGCTGGGGTTTGATGCTTTCATTACGCTGGAATAAAATGTTAAGCAAGAGGGGAAACAAGGGATCACCCGGAGGAAATACTGGTGTTTCCACCAGCATCAAGTCACGCGACAAGCTTTGCTGCATGTGTTGCTTTTATTCCTGTAGCCAGGCACACGGCAGGCTCTTCCCTTTGGAAGGTGAGGTTTCTGCAAGCTGGAGTCCTGACTTTATCAAAGAGGGACCCAACTTGCACAAAGGATGCAACTTCAGCTTGCCCAGTCTGCTCTTTCAGTTTCTGGTGTGGGAACGTGGCCAGAAAGCGATGCATTGACATAGGAAGAGACGTGGTGTACTTCCTGACAGATCACAGATTTGCATTACACTGCAAAACCACACAAGACTACAAAATCCTTAAGAAACGATGCGCTAGCTCTCGAAGACTTCCTCCCTCAGAAAGATCAGATATTTCAGATTAAAAATTAAACAAGGCTTTAAACATTGAATTTCCCTCTCAACAAAATGGAGTCAAGCAGCCACATATGCCATACTTCCTGACTGAGTGACCTCCACTGACGGAAGCTCATAGAATCACAGAATGGTTCGGGTTGGAAGGGACCTCTAAAGCTCATCTAGTCCAACCCCCCTGCCGTGGGCAGGGACATCTTCAACTAGAGCAGGTTGCTCACAGCCCCGTCCAGCCTGACCTGGAATGTGTCCAGGGATGGGGCATCCACCACCTCTCTGGGCACCCTGGGCCAGTGCTTCACCACCCGCAGCGTAAAACATTTCTTCCTTAGATCTAGTCTGAATCTACCCCCCTTTAGTTTAAAGCCATTCCCCCTTGTCCTGTCACAACAGGCCCTGCTAAAAAGTTTATCCCCATCTTTCCTGTAGGCCCCCTTTAAGTACTGACAGGCTGCAATAAGGTCTCCCCAACGCCTTCTCTTCTCCAGGCTGAACAACCCCAACTCTCAGCCTTTCTCCATAGCAGAGCTGTTCCAGCCCCCTGATCATTTTTGTGTCCCTCCTCTAGACCTGCTCCAACAGGTCCGTGTCTTTCTCATGCTGAGGACCCCAGAGCTGGACGCAGTGCTCCAGGGGGGTCTCACCAGAGCAGAGCAGAGGGGCAGAATCCCCTCCCTCGACCTGCTGGCCACGCTGCTTTGGATGCAGCCCAGGATACGACTGGCCTTCTGGGCTGTGAGCGCACATCGCCGGCTCATGTCCAGCTTTCCACCCACCAGTGCCCCCAAGTCCTTCTCGGCAGGGCTGCTCCCCATCCCTTCATCCCCCAGCCTGTCTTGATACCGGGGG